TTCGCAGTTGTCAATGATATACGACTGGTTTGTTCTGAGATATTTAACCACTAATACGTTCGCGCGCGAGCGAAAAAGAAAGCAGGAACGTTGACCTTCCCGATCGGCAGGTGCTTTCTATAGGTCATTTCGACGTATACGATAAAAACGCTTATATCTTTGAAACTGAACTTACTTGGGCAAATAAAAAAATATCAGCGAGTAGCTTATAAAACAAGCTTCCATTTTATAATTAGTTGTGATTGAATTACATTTGAGTTGTATTCGTATTTCCAAGTTGAAAAAACATTACTCGACGATTTTATTTTATTTTCTAACTTTTTCGCGTAACCATTTTCTAATAAGAATCTTATAATAAAGAAACTATATTTTATGTTAATCAGCATTTCAATACCTATCCATCGACACCAAAATATCAAAGAAATGTTTGATTTCACCAGATCAATAAATTAAAATGTAACATCCATTCCGAGCCCCGTTCGCTGGTTCAAATTTCCTAAGTATATAAGCCAAAATGGCGTCGTAAGCGGCTTTACACACAACAAAATAATTAGTTTGTATGAAAAACACAAATACTTAGAAGTAAACAGAAATTTACCTTAATTTGTAAATAACATATATATACATTATACACATTTAAAAACAAGTACTGATGGGGTAGGCAGAGACGTCGAATCAAATTTTTTTGAGATTTGAGAAATTAATTTTCTATATCACACAGAAACATGACTACTGACATGGTATTATCTCAAAATTTTGTTATATTATTCTTTATCTCGAAAATTGCGATAATAATATGTGTAAGTCACTTGAATGCGATGTAACTTCAAAATAAGTGTTGTCCTGACAGTTTACAATTAAAGGCTGTACGACTGACATATATTACGCAATTTTCAAGATATAACAAATTATAACGCAATTTTGAGATAACACTTAATTGTCATGTACGACATATCACGTCGGTTTCCCACTGGGGTAAGTCAAAACTACGGCTCTTCATCTGTTAAGCGTTTATTTCTAGATATATTTGGCTGTAAAGGAGTGTGGAAAAGAAACTAATTTTGTTGACAATTTTATTTATTTTTTAACTTTTTTATAAATTAAAATAAATTAAAATAATTAATTAAAATAATAAATTAAAAATACAATTACAGATGTCGCCACATCAAGCTTCACATTTAATTGTTTTTGTATTTGTTTCTATGTTTTGGTGTACAATAAATAATAAGTGTATCTTATTCCGTTGTAATGGAGGCGATTTTTGAACAAAAATGTGTAATCTGATGTGTCGTTGACTGTAAATAATATGTTCCTACATATGGGTAGGCAGAGCTTTGGGTGATACAAGTGCCCCTGATGCTACAAAATTAATAATAATAAGTTAAGTAAGAAGTATACATTATTTTCTTGCGTGTTTTATACACATTATACTTGATACAAGGACAAAGGATGAAGTCAATTCGAAAAACAATAAGTTTGGTATGCTAGCAATACTCCGTGCATGGTCGGACTTGTACTTGGCATAATTCACTACAGAAAGAAGGGAATGGGATGCAGTCAGTTAGTTAGTCAGTCAGTCGGTTAATCCCCCAGCCGGCAGGAACACGACGTCTGCTCGGTCTGGTGATGGATACCTGAAAAAAAAAATTTGTTAATGATTGTATTTACGAATATAAAAACAATAATAATATTATTACATATTACTTAATTATGATTCTTACCGCGCACGGCGCTTCCTAGCAGGCGCGTCAGGCAGGATGATCCGATGGACCTGACTGCCGCTTGCAGGCAAGCTACTTCAACAAAAGAGAAAATAATTAAAGAACGGTGTTTAATTATAAAAGTTAAAAAGATGATCGGAATAAGTAACGAATATTACTTTTCTCTGCCACCGCTAGGGCCGCTCTCATTTAAATCGCGGCCTCGCCCACGACCTCGACCACGTCCAGGTCCACGGCTACGGCTACGGCCAGGTCCAGGGCCACGGCCACGGCCACGGCCGCGACCACGACCACGCACCATCTCTTCATCATACGTTGGGCTAAAATATTAAATTCAAATTTATAGATGCAGGCGCATTTACAGTCCGTAGTCTCTGCCTACTCCAGTGGGAGACAGGTGTGTTAGTATGTATGTACGCTTTTTTAAGACCCAAACAAATTAAAGAAATTAGGTTAAAACATGTGGTCTCTGCCTACCCCAGTGAGAGACAGGTTAAAAATATACTATTTCTAACTCCCCAGTATTTGTTTAGAATTATAAAAATTATAAATGCCGAAACACGATGAAGACAATAGATATTTAATATCAAACAGAAACAACGAAAACCGTTATGCATTTTTATTCCTACACGGGTTTGTAAGCCCACTTATTTGGCCTAAAATAGTCCGTTATTTTTTTGAAATTGAGTTGTTTTGCAAAAATAGTGTAATCGTCTCGAAATTTACATTAAATGAGCTGCGAATGATTGAAAAGTAATATATATTAAACATTGTTTTGCATTTCAACTATATTTCAGTTCAAAACAACATTTTATTGTAAAAATTAAATCGAGAAATTGTAACTGTCTTGGACGGGAACGACAGAATTTGGAAAGAATCATGCGAGTTGAATTTTAAATGAAATCTTGATATTTTAACACTACAGGAAAGAACACATTCTAACGATCATTTTGGTATATAAATATGTAAAAAACAATTACTTACTTCATAATTACAATTAAAAACAGTTCAAGCACTTTGAAAAAAAACAAACTCACGAAACGCGCAGAAAATTGTGACGTTCGACATTTTTTTTTTATTTTAAACACGTTGCTAGAGAAGAGCCGTGTAAATAAAGTTATACGGCCTATATCTGAGAAGTATCAACGAAAGTTTCAAGTCGATACGAGTAACCGCACTAAAGATATGGGGCATAGACGACAGCGTTTCGCGCCATTTGCTCTTGGCAACAAAAGTGGCCAGCTAACGTTTGAGCGTTTTATGCTTTTGGCAACAAAAGTGGCCAGTGACGTTTGAGAGGTTAAGGATACAACTTGACGCGATCGTACCAACTACCCCTACATGTAACTTCACTGGAGCAGTCGACAACCCTGCTTCCTCCCATCCAAACTCAACCAAAGAGGATTCACACGACACCCAAAGAAAGCCCCCGCGGGCCGCTTTAGCGGCCCAGCGCAACATGCAACATCCAAGTCGACCTGGTTTCCGTGATAAACGGCACAGTCAACGTGTCAGAGATGGGTGTATGACTTTCAAACAAAATATGTAAAGGACCCTGGTCAGGTTCTACTGGGATCAAAAATTTTCCAATATGGCATATTCAAAATGGCTGCCATAAACAATTGACTTTTCTGAATCTTCGCAGCTGTCAATGATATACGAGTGGATTGTTCTAAGATATTTAAATATACGACTTGCCGCGATTATACCAACTACCCCTACATGTTACTAAACTGGATCAGTCAGTAACCGAATAAGGATTTTATCTATCTATCTAATCCTGCTCCTTCCCACCCAAATTCAACCAAAGAGGATTGTCTACTGAAATATAAAGTTCAACTCCCAATTTGTCACCAGATATAAAGAAAGCCCTCGCGGGCCGCTTTAGCGGCCCGGCGCATCGCGCGGCATCTAGTTTCTGTATATAGCTCCACGACTCTTTCCAGTTCATCAGCTTTATTTCTTTTATTTGTCCTAATTTTGTTTCGTTCTCTTTTAGATTTGTTCCGAAAATCATTCCAAATTTCTCCCAATTTGCTTTTTTGATATTAAATTTTCTGGTAGTTCTTGTGACTTTTCTTAGTGTGTTATTGACCAATTCTAGGATGTATTCTATGGCGTTGTGGTCAGAGTTCACCAGTTCCTCATTTCAATTCACAATGACATCTTGGCTTGGGTCCTTTTCAATTTCCGAGGTAATTATGATGGAGTGCAGTTCTTTCGCATTCGATTTCTTTTTTTGTTTGAGAGCCTCTGCGTATGTCCCGCCTGTCAGTCCATGTATCCCCTCTCCCCTTGTCTCGTCTCGAAAAGCAGGAACTTGCTCGTTGATCTCTTTAATTCCCATAAGGATTTCTTAGCCTTTATCAGTGGTGTCGTCCGGAAACGCTTTCTTCAGAGACTGTATCGCCGCGCGCATGTCCTGTACTATCTCTGTCAGGAGTTTGCGAATTTCTGAACTGTCAGGTTCAGGATTGGGAGCCTGAATTCTAAGCTCTTTCTCAGGGCTGGCAAGTCTGCTATGTGTTTTTTTGTGAGGTTGCTCTAATTCTCCCGCCAAAACCTGACGTTACTCGTTTAATTGAAGCACTATTTCATACAGTGCTCCCAGGTTTGCTATTACCTTTTCTTTAATCGTGGTCTTTTTTTATTGGCAGAATTTTCAAGGTGGAACTTGGCATCTTGGTACAACTTGTTGGCTTTGGTCGCCATCGACGACTTGTACCGATCTGTGGGAGGTGGAGAGCGTAGCTCCCTGTGGTCTTCAAGGAAGCTCTTTTCTTCGCAAGTTCCGTGTCCTGGCGAGGAATAGGGAGTTTTAGAGATGTGTCACCTGTATCCTTGTTATTTGCGCCAACTTTGGCTGCTTGGCTCGGTATTCCCCTATTGGATGACATTTTGCAATTTTAAATATGACCTAGTTGGGTTCACTTGATTGACCTATTCTAATTGTTTGCATCAGTTCAGAACGTGTAAGAGACGTTCTTTATTATACTAGTAAACAAAAGTTTCAGGTCGCAATAAAAAGAATCAAAATTGGTCCGGTCTATACACCGAGGTATTACGACTAAATTTATTTTATCTTATTAAGTATGAGTTATATACTAGGGCGTTCAATGTATTCTCGGTATCGGGGTGATTAACTAATAATAAGAGTAAATTAATTACCTCATTAGTTAAAGACACTCTTTATGGGTATAAATATAAAATTGCATGTAATTGTCATCATTAGTATTCAAGTTATCAATACGAGAAGACAACTACAATGACAGATGCCACAATGTTGACGAAAATCGAGCACCGCGCAGTGATTAAATTCCTTACAAAACAAGGAAAAACTCAAAAAGTTATTCATGAAGAAATGTGGCTATTTATCAAGATTCTGCTCCTTCATTATCTACTATCAGAAGTGGTCTAGTGAATTTAAACGGGATAGAGAGAGTATTGAAGACGACCCCCGTGCGGAGGGCCGGTAAGTGCCACTTCTGAAGAAAATGTCAAATATGTCGAGAAACTTGTATTGGAAGATGCCCGTATCAGAGTGAAAACATTAGCAGAAAAGACTACGCTATCCGTGGGTACCATTCACACTATCCTTCATGAACATCTGAATCTTTCAAAAGTCAGTGCAAGATGGGTGCCGCGAATGCTCACGCCGCTTCAGAAACAAGTTCGAGTTGAGTGCAGTAAGGGGTTTTTGGAGCTCTGTAGCGAAAATCCGAGTGGAATTTTTGAACGCATTGTCACCGGTGATGAAACGTGGGTTCATCACTATGATCCTGAAAGTGAGTAAGAGTCCATGCAGTGGCATAAAAAAGGAACAGACCCACCGAAGAAGTTTAAAGTCTGCCCATCCGCCGGAAAACTCATGGCCACAGTGTTTTGGGATTTTAAGGGAATTTTACTGATCGAATACACAAAAATGGGTCAAAGTATTACTGCTGCAGCTTACGCAAACAGCTTACGCAATTTGAAGGACGCTATAAAGTAAAAAATACGTGGAAAATTGACCGCTGGTGTCTTGCTTCTTCACGACAACGCGCCGGTTCACACAGGGCGCGTTGCCAAGGCTGCTGTGAGGGATTGTGGATTTGAAGAAATCACTCATCCACCCTACAGCCCTGACCTGGCTCCCAGTGATTACTTTTTATTCCCAAACCTAAAGAAAGATCTTCGGGGTAAGCATTTTTCCGACGATGAAGAGTTGAAGGAGGCAATTAATGAACATTTTTCAGGCAAAGAGGAAAAATATTTTTTCGAGGGCATCGAAAAGTTATTTGCCCGATCAAATAAGTGTATTGAGGCTATGGGAGACTATATTGAAAAATAAATTTTATTTAAAATTTTTTGCCTATTATTTCATACCTATACCGAGAATACATTGAATGTCTCTCGTAAAACAGTAAAAGTATAAAAAAGTAAACAAAAAACTAGTAAGCAAAATAGCAAGTTTATCGTTGCTCTAAGGCTCTGCCTTATTTGTAGAGTGACTCTCTTTCTCTCTCACATTCTCTCTACAATTTGGACAAACGGAATTTGGGTTCAGGTAGCAGAAATTGAGGGCGGCAGTATTCCCGTTGTCAGCGTTGAAAACCGTGTCTCTCTAGGCCCACTGATTGCGGAGTAAATGCGGTTTGAATTTTTCAATATGGCCGCCTAAATGTCAGTTTTAAAGTCTACAGGTTTATATCTCCGCTTACAGGTATCACAGCCTACTCGTGTTTGGGCTCTTCTGATTGGTCCTGGCCTCTTCTTTATTGTAGAGCCAAAAATAGCTCTACAATTTCCAAAGCTTCAATTATGTTCCAAACCAGCCACAATCTAGGCAATCCCCTAAGCACAGTATCGAAAACCGCAATCTTCTAGGTCAAATAGTTACTGAGTTATGATTACTCAAGGTTTTTAAAGATGGCCGCCCAAATGTCACTGACAAACTTAAGATGCTTATATATCCGCTTGCATTTGTTTAAATATTTGCATGTGTTTGGGTTTATCTGTCAGAGCGTGACAATTGCTATGTAATAGGACTCTATATTTAAAGCTCTACAAATATTTACATGTGTTTTATTATTCACAAAGATCACTCTTACTCCCTTGATACCTGTAAAGAAAACCGCAGCTCTTTATGGCAATTCGTTCCAAGGTTATTCTTATTTAAGCAAAACCAAGATGGCCGTCAATATGGCGGGATTCCACTAACTTAATTCCAATTAGACTTAGGATACCCGAGTTTGGGCTCAAAATTATAAGTAAATTTATAAGTTAAGTGTATTTGTGATATTTAATTAAATATTTGTAAAAAGCACAAAAAAATCAATATCTTCGAAACAAGATGTTATAAAATATTGTTTAAAATATCAAAAGAATGCTAAAATTATATACTATCTTACAGAATTTGTTTTTGATATATAAGAAATTTGTAATGTAGTTTTCTATAGAATTATGGTTTTTACAAAATTTTACTTAATTTTTGAATAACTTCTAATAATTAGCTGAAAAATCTGAAATTTTGGATTTCTCTTATTCTAATCAGCGCGCAACAGATGCGGTCATAAAAAATAGGGTTGTCGCTTTAGATTTCAAGATAAAAAAACTCAATTTTTTGCTTCTTTATGAGGTAATTACTTTGCTGAAAACAACCTGAAAATTCTAAATTTTATGCAGAAATGTTTCTCCTCCGAAGACGGAGATTTTGATGTATTCCGCAAGTCTGTCGCTGCTCTCCTTCCTGGACCGCGTGGCCACGTGGTTTTGGCTTTTTTCAGTGTAGCGTCTAAACGTTTTACAGAAAAATTCTGAAATTTTCCAGGAACGCGGGCCTTAATAGCACGCAACCGATAGAAGATTCTTTTTTCGTGAAGGAAGGAATTTGCAGCGCACGCGTAAAAGTGGTTCCAGTTTTCGAAATTCTAACCTTAAATTGCGTTTTTCAGGTTCTGTTCTTTGCCACTGCACTCCATGAATTCAGCACTTCCCTTAAAAAGATGTGGGACACTTAATTTTGCATACAATTTAACACTATTTTCGTAAAGATCGGAGCACTATTTCTACTTTTTTTTATTTTTTTGTGACGGCTATTAAAAAAGCTGCTTATTTCTTGAGCTCATCCCAATTGTTTTTAGGTTTAAAATTAAACGCATTCTCGGAGACAAGCGCTGAACACTGTGATAGAGTTATTATGAATTCTAGTATTTTACAAGGAAGTAAGACGAAGGAAAAGCAAATTAATTATATCGTAGCCTATAAATGTAAATTTAAAATGTGGGTAAGTATGGATTTTACGAAAATGGAAAT